CAAGCGCCATCCCACGTTTAAAAAAAACCGTGAAATCACAGTAATGGCGGCCAATGACATAATCTTTCGTTTTTGTGGGTGTCGAAATTTAAATTTATGATCAGTGGCCAGTCATATTTGACCTAAAACCATATCGGGTAAGATCCCTGTGAAAACGCCCACGGAAAGTGCGAATGTTGTCTGCCCACGAGTTTATAAAGATAATATCTAGACAGATCAAATGATTTCGTTTTTAAATCCTGTCCAATAACGTTTCCAAGCACTCATTCCTTTCTGTCATTTGCTTTCTTAACTGTCATTTCGTTCTAAATTTGAAATAAATTAAAAAAAAATGTCATCTTCGTAAATCTATACATCAGCCAAATTAAAAAGCAACCCTCTAGATATTGATTCCTTCATCTGTTTTATTATTTAATTTTACTACTTAAAATCATCCTAGTCAACACCGTCATATGGTACCCATCTTTCTCCACTTATCTTATTGATTAATCATAACCCACCAAACTGGACTACAGACATAAATGGTGGCTACATAATGGATATATTAATCATATGTAATGAGTCAGACTTGCATTCCTTTTACGAACATTTGTTTTATGTCCAGTCAATAAACAGTATGGATCCATTCTAACCTAATGTGGCAGACGGCGGGTGTATGAATTCAATTTAGTTAAACAAGCGTTGTTGATTAGTCACGTTCTTCGAAAGAAAGGAATACACTAGTAAAATTAAGAATAAGAAGTTTTGGATTAACTTCCAAAGATATGAATGCGAAAGTAACTCAGTCTGTCTGTCTTTTCTTCACGCCTAAACTACTGAACCGATTTCTGTTATATTTGGTACAGACATAGTTTGGAACACCAGAAAGGACATAGGATTTGCAGAGTTACCTTGTATTTCGCATTATGAGTGAGCCTACTGAAGACCTAATCCTTCCTGCCCAATCCTCCCTAATAATCTACAAGAGGCTGACAACGCACTTGTAGTAACTCCTCAATGTCAATGGGCGGCACCGATTACTTACCACCAGGTAATCCATCTGCTCATTTGCCGACCTATGTCATAAAGATATTGCATAATATTTTCGTATAGGTAATACGGTACTTTCCAACTAGTCAAATACAATACTTTTATCCAAATGTCAAAAACTATACTTTTTATGAAATTTGTATTAAATACTGAGTTATGACCTCATAGAAATTTTGCGTCATATTGCTTACTTATAGCTAAAAAATATCTAAAATGCAGTGTATCGATCGATCGATGAATAAATGTATAGTTATTTTTCAATATTTTATTGTATTGAAACGTCGAATTAATTTATTTTTGACCCAGGAAACTATCCAATTGTAAGTGCAATTATGCAAAGAGGCCCAGGCTGGAACAGGAGAAGGAACAGGGTGGTTTTTTTGTCAGTTTTACACTCCTTGTCGTTTTGTTCAGGGGGAGAGAAGCTATTACAAATAGTACATTTATAATCATTAAAACTAAATAGTTTCAAACTACTTAATTAAGATTTTATCTACGTTTAATCTATAGAATATAGCCTATACCGATGGTATCTCCAATCCGATCGTTGGTGATAATATTTCTATTGATCTTTAGCACACAATTATTAGACGGTAACTTGTTTGAGATTATATCAACGTTACTAAATATGATAAATTACCGTTTTAAATGGTTTTGCATATAAATGCTTAATTAGAGTTACTTGGTAATTTTTATAACTGCTAGTTTACGCAGATTTCTTACTTGGACCTAAGTTTTTTTTTGTGAGGGGAAAATCATCAAATGACTTCTCCCGCCCAGGGCCGGGCGGGAGGGAGTGTCAGACTCTTAACTAAAAACCCCCCTGTTCCTTCTCCTGCTCTCGGCCGAGGTCGCGGTGCCAACTTGGACCTAAGGTTGAGGGGGAAATAATGCAATAAGTATGACTTATGTGCCAACTTTGATCGTTTTGAGCACATGAAAGTATAAACAAACAAAATAAAATAAATATGCTATTATAGATATGCGCTACTAAAAGGTAGATGTGTTAGATATATAAGCATAACACAAAATAGAATACTTAGTAAGAAATTAAACCACCTCTCCTAAAAAGGACCAATGTCGTACCGAAAAAAATTAAGTCTTTCAAAGTAACTCAAGGTATACATAGATTTTGTCTTGTGTTATGTCTGTCGGGTGTATATATACGAAATCACATTTTCGAATACACACATCTCACCAAAATTCGACCAACATTTGTGGAATACAACAAAGAATTGTTCCCTGCAGAAGAAAAAAAGAACCCGCGCTCAACCAAATTCGAATCCATAATCTATGGCTCATACAAATTTCCGTGCGGATGTTTACATATTACCCAACCTCTGCGGAAGCTGTCATTAATAATTAAACCCAACAGGCTATTAAACTTAAACACTACAACAAATTAAATCCACCACAGATTACTTATCTAGTAATCTGACGCTAAGATAAAGATCTAGGTACTACAGCACATTTAGCTAAGTGTTTATTTCAAAGACATAAGGATCATTATTCAATGTACAGATTAAATCATTAATGCGACAGGAAGTGTCTGTTTGCTTGATGGATGGTAATTTATTAATTAGATTAATGATTTATAATGAACTGTGGCTGTAGTAGGTGCAGTTGTAATTGATTTTGAACCAGAAGAAACAGATGATTGACTTAGTGTTAGAATATAATTAATAGAATATAAGTGTGGGAGAGCCATGCTTCAGCACGAATGGGTCGGCTCGACCGGAGTGATACCACGGCCTCACAGAAAACCGGCGTGAAACAACCACAGCGCTGTGTTTCGCCGTGTGAGTGAGGTTACCGGAGGCCCAATCCTTCCCCTTCCCGGACCCTTCCCCAATCCCTAAATCTCCAAAGTCGGCAACGCACTCGTAACTCCTCCGTTGCGGGTGTCCATGGGCGGCGTTGATTACTTACCATCAGGTAATCCGTCTACTCGTTTGCCGACTTATTACAAAAAAAAGAATATTAAAAGAGAGGATGTGGATTGATAAAACGCTAAAACAGGGTTTTCACGAATGGTGTCTTGAAACAAAAGAGGTTTTTTTATTTAGATGTTACAACATATTAGATGTGATAATAAACAAACAATTGTTCTTTAATATAAAAAGGTTTACCGCTAGTTCCTATCCTAGGGCCAAGAATGAAGTCATGATTCCATTTTGAAATTTCATTAAAACTTTAATCCTCCAAAGCAAAAAACGATTTGATTTATGTGGTATTGTATACAAATAATTTCTATATGAACATTAATAAAAACAATACAACGACTTCTTATTGTTACCTCATACAATTCACGTAACGTTTTTTAATGTCATTGACCTCGTTCATTTCAAATAACAATTCCTTAACATGAACTTCCTGAGCAAATTGTGACAGCAGATCCACTTGATGAAATAATTCTTCAATTATTTTACATACAAGTCTATATGTTTGATTTTTTCATCGCTTGTCATTTGGATATGGAGCAGCACTGGAAATATCTCAAGGTCTGTAGTATACACAGCTATTGATAGTTCGTCTGTTTTTGCTTAAGCTCCAATAGTTGTATTGTCTTATTCCATCTACAGTGCAAATTATAGCTAAAATTTCTTCAGTAAATATTTGATGGAATATGCCAGTATATCTATAATAGTATTTAACACAGCTTTACGCTGTATCGCCCGGTCTGTCAACTCTTACAGTTATGTTTGCTAATAATAAAAAGGAGAATTTTATCACTTTGGTAAAGCGTAAAACGTTTCATAAATTGGTCTAGTTGTAGTAACTGTTTCATCAAATCATTGATGATGTCCACAAGAAACCTAAAAGACAAAATAGCAAAAAATAAATAAATCAAAATTTCTGATATATTTTTTTGTACTTCAGTAAAGACGTGTTAATATTTGTCAAATTCAAAGCACCCAGAATAAGTTCAAGTAAAATACGTTTTTCTATCGTTCAGAATCGATTATATGTTTGTTTAAAAGGCTCGAGTTAAGCACCGGAGTGTTGTTTACTTTGTTCAAGAGTTGGTGGTCTAGTGTCGTTGAAATCATCATTGAGAGATCGATCATCTTTATTTTTTTCGTTTTGCATGCTCGTCATCGGTTCGTCTTTTAAATCCTTTTATGTTTTTTTAGTTTTCACACATTCACACAATTCTTTTGGAGCTATATTATTTAGCTAATTTCCTTTAAATACACTTTTGTTTGTTTCTTTTCTTGTATTAGTAAACAGGTAAGCTAAAACTAGCGTGAGATTAAACACTAAAGTTTATTGAGCGCTACATTGTGACAAAATGTATGGAAATCTACATCCTGTCCCGGTTTCAATGGTAGTAATGTAACCGTGTCTAGAACGAAAACAAAACACTATAGACGAATTTCTTGAATGAAAAGAACACTGTTATTCAGTAAACTAAGAACAGTTGTAAGAGAAACTACATAATTACCTTCTACAACAAAAACAAGTGCTTCTTCACATCTTGTTCGAGAAATAATGGTTTACTTAAATAATTCAGTGTGCAACATGAGCTAATCACGCAACTATTTTTTTCCATGAGTAACGATCATGTTAGAATCAACAACAATATAAACTTTAAAAAATCAAGTTCATCAATCATCCCTAAATTAGCTTCCGAAAAGTCCTTGTAACAACATTTTTCAATAACCTGATCTTATGCTATATGTAGTGTTATGGTGCCCAAAGGATTAATTATTACTCTCTCAGATTAATTAGACTCATATTGCCAACATTTGTTTCTTAAAGTTTTATTACATAATCATTTTAATTTAAGTATCATCCCTTACAGAATCAGCCATTGTCCCTTTAACTTCAACGGTTCCATTACCACCATTGAAACTTAATTTGAACTTTATAGAAATTCAATCAAGGTTTTCTATCAAGTGATTATGTTCTGTCACATTGTCTTCTATGATGTTTGTAGTAGGTTTGTGTCTTAATATATTCTCATCTAGGTGTTAACGTTACTTTACCCCACGCTGCTCGGACAGACCTACACACGTCTTCATGTCTGCGAGGTGATCAACAATCAACCATGTTGTCCACCGCAGCAAGTAAGTTTGTTATGGTTTGTTTTTAGTTGTCGTTCATTTGATTTTGTGTCTTTGGGAAAGGTAATATGGATTAAATTGTCTAAAATAGAAAAGCTTAATATAAATTTGCTGTCGATACATCGACATCTGTGAAGTTTCAACAATTATCTGCTTTATGATAATAAAAATTGAGTTGATAATACATAAAATTTGTACTGTCATCAACACTTAAATGGAAACAAATAAAAGCACCTAGCTTCACCGACGACAAGACTGACAGACTACTTTTCTATTTTGTCATTTCAAAAGTACTTATGATTTAGTTGGAATAAATGATTTTGATGATTTGAAATTTCATAAAACTGTTACGTACGTTAAATAGATCTTATTGTAGATTATTTCTCATATAGTACTGAAGCCAGTCAAGACAGTATTGATTCCTTAAATAATATATTTGATACCACTTCACCAGACTATGTTTTGGTAGTACGCTGTATTAAGGTGTTTGTAAACTGGCAATAGTTTAGCCAATATGGCTGCAGGATTAGTGGCCAGTTGCAGAAAGAATAGCGTCCGTTAACAAACACACAACTTTTAGGGCAGATTTTTCATTGGTTAGATAAAGTTACTTGGGGAACAATTATGATGCTGTCGCGTCAGAATGTTTGCATAAGACAGTGACAGCAACAATTTTTTTCCCCAGATAACATTTATCTGACTATTGAAAAACCGGCCCTTAGACAATTTAATCTTGCCCTTCCCTTTAAGTTCTTTTGTTCGTAACACTGTTGGTTTATTTAGGCATGCAGCTTATTTATTATATTTCTTTCTATTATTTTTTTTTGCGCCGTCGTAGTTGTTTGATTTTTTTATTGTTTTGCTTCAGGATTTTTTTGTTGTTGTTTAGTAGGCTTAATAACTATTGGCTGTTTTTAATTTTTCCTAACATTTTCATCATCAGCTGTTTGATGCTGTTTTTGTTGTTGTGTGTTCTTCGTAGGCTTATTAATTTCAGTGACTATATTTTCCACAGCTAATCAATCAAGTCGTGTTGGCATTGTTATTTGCATTTGTAGTGTTTTTTCTCATCGCCACTTTGACGGTCTGGTGTTTAATAAATTGAACTTTTTACTGCAATTAGAAAGTACAGTATATAACAGTACCTATTTGAATTTGCATTACATAAAGATACAATATACATAAAGATACAAGATGAAGTAAAAGATACAATTCATGTAGACATCGTAGTAGATGCTTAGCTAGTGCTACATCTATTTAGTGCCTGAATTACGAATCAAAAATAAATGACTTTACAGTTTCTTGGTCGTTCTTCTCCATTGGAATCTACACTTTGGAGCGAACAAATAGCTTCACTACAGGGCAGACCAACAGACGGACTCACATGAAGTTAATATTTTTAGTATTTTTATTGTTTGGCGTTCAACAATTTATTTCTTTGTACTGCACAAGTTTTAATACCTTCCTATAATTATGACTTTATTATCTAATATTGTTATGTTTATCCAGGTGAACCGTCACGTGAACGATCTATTCGAGGACCTACGCGATGGGCTGAACCTCATCTCGCTGCTGGAGGTGCTTTCTGGCGAACATCTCGTAAGTATATGTACATTAATTTAAAAAAGTTTTATAATAAAAAGGTTAACTCTGCTATAAAACCTCATTGATCCAAATATCATAGACTACCTAGAGGTCAGTCAAGAATTCCATTTTCAAATTATCAATCTCACTCGATATTTCTCTCATATGATAAATGGCATACTTAACAGCAAATGGACCATCGAAATTGATACCCTATTATGTTAGGATGTTGGTCCTGATTTCTCTATCACTTTATTCGTCTTAAGCTTATACGAATTTAACTTGTCGCTCTAGAAGAAATACAAGTAATCTTCACCATCGGCTATTTAAGTGGAAATTGGCTAATGGTTAGACGACGCAGGTGGTCCGTCCTGATTGCTTAGTTAATTAACTAAGAATTCATCGACAGAATACGCAAGTACCTAATGTAAAGTTTGATGACCCTTTGAAAGTGTATTGTGTGTACGGAATTAAGTTGTGAGCTTATTTAAAAAATATTGTGTTTTTCTTGCTGTTAAAACTTCAAAGGTTATATATACTTCTTTAATATACTGGTATTATAATGAGGAATTATTTCATAGTTAGTTTTCTGTTTGGTTTGCTTTAGCTCCGAAAGTACTTGACTGACAGGCGAAACGTTTTGCTGTTGAAAAAATTGTTATCGATTGCTGTGCCTCCCCCTGCTCTTTGCCTTACATTAACATAACTACTGAAAAAGAGAATATTAAAACATATAGAATAACTCTTTCAATCATAGAATCGAGACACAAAAGAAGAATAATAGGTGCACGATCGGATACGCTTGGGGCTTGATGAATTTAAAGAGGTGTATTGTTTAAATCTGTAATTTTTTTCGTAATCATCATCATAAGCCTATAAGTGCCCACTGCTGAGCAAAGGCTTCTTCTCACACGGAGAAGGTTTGAGCATTAATCACCACGTTTGCTCAATGCGGGTTGGCGATTTCAAACTTATCACTAGAAATTATAAGTCCAGGTTTCCTCACGATGTTTACCTTCACCGTTCGTCAGTGGTGTCTAAATAATCATAGAAAGTACATATAACTCGGAAAAAGTCACATTGGTACTTGCCAGGTTTTGAACTCACACCCTCGTGCATGAGAAGCGGGCGCATTAATCTCTGGGCCACCACCACACTGATTTTTTTTCGTATTTCCAACTTGTACTAAAACGGGTGTGAACCATATATCTTCGTGTATAACAGTCCGTAACAGAATTAATTCGGTATAATGATACATTCGCGTGTTTCTTGTTCGTGTGTCTGATACAGAATAAAGTGATTAACACTCATTATTTAAGTTAGTTTCCGTAAACATAGACGTTTATAGGCGTTTTTTTTTCATTTAAATGGATAAACGGACACGTGACCTCTTCCAGGGTCGACTGTATCATTTGGATTTTAAAAAGAAATCTATTTCCACACGTCTTAAAGGTTGTTTTTATGTGTTTTCAGTTGGGATTCAATTTTTTTGTGAATAATATCTTACGTTTAAAAACTTAATTCAGATAAATATTGTAATCACCCTGTGATATTTTTGTTCTAATTTTGAAAATTAGAGACTATTTATAACTCAATATATTATGATCAACCGTTATGGAGTCTATTTTCAAAATCAGTGTCAGTCGTGAAATATGTTCCTAATAGTTGCCCATGTCATTTATAATTCTAACGCCCTATACCCATCCTCCCCCTTCCCATCCTCAATCCTCAGATCCTTTAATCCCTAATAACCTACAAGCCTAATAACGGCAATGCATTAGTATTAACTCCATTGGTATTGCGAGTGTCCAAGGGCGGCACCGATTACTTACCATCAGGTAATCCGTCTGCTCTCAAAAAACTCTTACCTTTAAAAAATGAAATTATATCAAACAACATATTGACAGCAACGCATAAATCACTTTACATGATAACAAAAACCTTGCTAACAGGGCAGCGTAGAATTGTTTACCTAGCCACACCTGCGATCGGCCTAAATAATTTCCACAGATCTAGATAACCTCTTTAGCAACCCCTTTGTAGGTTAATGGTGGATCGATGGTTCGAAATAGGGATCCTGATAGCTGTAGACATATTGATATTTATTAAACTGACAGTTTAGAAAAATATGCATATTGGAAAACTTTAAAAATACATCGCCATTTTTTTCTAATCTCGGCACTATGAAGTTAAAGTTAACCTACTTTCCGCTAACCATAGTATTGATTGTGGAAAATTGGGGTTTATAGTTAGACAAAATAATTACGCTTCTATTTTTACCTGAATAAGTTAACGTTGTGTGTGTACGTTATTCCAAATGTTTCAGGACCAAGTTAGCTAACTCCTCCTCCGACTTTTATTAAGAATTTGTATAGATATTTAACCAAGACTTCTTGTAATGAGGGTTATTAAATTGGAGTTTATAGTTTGACTAACTCATTCATCGTTAGTCTGTTCATCATCACTACAAAGTATAAAACAAAGTCGCTTTCTCTGTCCCTTTACCCTTATGTATGCTTAATTCTTGAAAACTAAGCAACGGATATTAATGCGGTTCTTTTAAAAAATAAAGTGATTGAAGTCGAAGGTTTAGGTGTATAATATGATTCACTAAAGAATGGAGACAATTAGTTTTAGCATTGCACCCATATCATATATTGTATTATGTAACTCTTCTCTGACAAAATTCTTTAAGAAATCTCATTACTCTTTCTAATCTTCCAGCCGCGCGAGAGAGGTCGAATGCGGTTCCACATGCTGCAAAACGTCCAAATGGCTCTCGACTTCCTTCGATACAAGAAGATCAAGCTCGTCAACATCAGGGCTGAAGACATCGTCGATGGCAACCCCAAGCTGACCCTCGGACTTATATGGACCATCATTCTTCACTTCCAGGTTAGTCAGAATTTTGTAAACGGATCCAATGTTATACCTATTTTATTCGTTTGTTTTTCTTGGCAGAAATTTTCTTTTCATTCTGTAGTGACTTTCTTTTTTTAGGTTTTAATAGGGTTACATACCTATTAAAGCCTACCCATTCGTGATATCCTGGGCGAAAGTACAAATTAACTTCTACTTTTTTTTGAGCTGGCTTCCTACCAGAAGTCAGGTTTGTTGACACAATGAAAACCAGAACTTGGCAGTGAAACAATTAGTCGTAGTGTATACACGCCAAGGATTGCCACAACGTGGCGAAGAAGCCGCGTACCTTTGCAAATAGATTGGGAACTAATTTATTTCGATCTAATTGATCAACATATTCGATTTGATTGGTGATTTTATTATAAATTATTAGTAGTATGTTAGGTTAACTAACTGTATGTAGAAAGTAGTATGTAACTGAGCCAAAAGGAGGGTCTGCTGGATAGGCTCGAAAAAAACCATTAAAATAACCAGGACATGTAGTTCCAACCAAATAAGTGGCTTATTGTTTTAGAACAGATTGCCATAGTGCAGAAAGGATAAAAAAGTAGTACTTATGTTAGGTATTTGTAGAGGTAGAAACGTTATGAAGCTTTTTTTATTATTTGATTATGTACTATTTTTGTTATTATTTTTCTTGATCCCGGATAAGGTCCCTAGTGTTGGGTCAAGGATTAAACAAAAAGGATGTTGGAAATGAACAACTAGGGAAGCTTTAAAAACCTTTTTACCTTTTTAGCTTATAGTATATCTCTTTATTGCCAATTGGTGACACAAATAGATAAGTAAATTATTTAAGCACTAAGTACATGCTATAAAATGTCATGGATTAGAAAAGCCGACGTTATTTCTTCTAACTGAAATTCTGGTTTTAAGTTGTAAATAATAGTAAAGTGATTGACATCATGGACGAAAAGAGTATTTACTTCTGTTTACCTCATTTCCAAAATTGGGTACTTATCAACTTTTTTTAATGTTGTCCAAGCTACGTATTTGAATACACCAAATCTAATAGACGTCTTCTTATTGAAATTAAAAAGTTAATACTTAAATTGTGAGAGTAACTAACTAAATGAAAACATTCGAATGTTTCATTTCTTCTGTTACTTAATTTATTACATAATACTGAAGTTTCTTATTTCAAGTAATTAAGATCTAGATTCATTATGCGTTCACACTTTAATTGTCTAGACTAGAACGTTTGAAGAGAACGCATTTGTTTCATTACGAAAAAAAATATTATTATCGTTTAAACTAGCTTTTTAAAAGAAAAAAAAATATTACCTAATAATATTTGAAAAAGGAACACGGTCTGATCGCAAAACTGCTATTTCTGGATCGGGAAAATCATTATTCAGTATGTTTTTTTTTCTTTTTCGATAATCTACTCTATATCTATATTAATATTTTAAAGAGGTAAAATTTGTAAGTTTGTATGTAGGGGGTAATCTTTTGAACCGCTGGTCGGATTGCCAAAATTCTTTAACTGATAGGATAAGATAGGTACAATGTTCCTGAATGCTATAGGCTCGAGCAGCGGGAGAGTCGCTAGTTTTCAATAATGACAGAGTATTTAAATTTGTGTCCGTTGTGTGGTAAACTATTCTAATTATTCCCTTCACATTTGGGGATAGGAAAGACGCGGTACCTACACTGGGTCTACGAGTTAGTTATCTTCAATGATACATTAATTATTTTAAGTAATAAGAGCAATTAGCCCAGTTTCTCTTCGAAGCTTATCTTTTGATATGACAACGAATAGCGTCACTGTTCTTTATTTAAACCAATCCCTAAAATTAATAATGATATCATTTGACCAATAAACTATACCTACTATTGCACGTTAATTAGTCATTGGAATTCCAACTCAATCGTATTAGAAACAAGGTACAAATTCAAATACAACGATAACTTCAATTCGGTGAAATAAAAAAGAAAACCATTTTATTTTTTATTAGAAATTCGAAATATAAATTCGAAACCAATCAACGGTTATTATTGTAGACATTATACCTAGCTATTACAGTTTATATTCAATTGTCGTAGAAATAAGGTTAAAATTCAAATGAAAAGAGGTTGTACAAAGGTTTCAGGCGAATTGCTAAGAGCCGTTGCGTGTCACCACATGGCTTCCCTACTTACGGATTAATACTTAGCTTATTAGGCCTTCAATATCAATGAACTTTGTTCACTATATCTATATAACGCGGTTTCACCTCCATTTTCTACTAAGAATTACTTGGCTTTATGAAAAAGTGTCTTTATTTACTTGCTATGAAGAAAACATTTAGAAATGTTGACTAAATCTATGTTATCTCAAAGCTAAGCTAAAAAGTTAGTTCGAAAGGAAACGCTTATCTCAGAAACTGCTGGATCGAATTGAAAAGTAAAATTTACACTAAATTAGCCTATTTATCGGAAGTCCGTAAAACAGCTCGCTATGACTAATAGAAGATGAGCAGCGGGTAAAACCGCGGGGGTTCCTAGTTATAACTAAGGCTTATTAGGCGTCATTTTTTGTGAGGCGAAAATCATCAAATGACTTCTTCCTCCTTGGGCGAGGCAAAGTGGAGTGTCAGACGCTATCTTACAGCCAAAAGAACTATTGCGTTTAATGCTCATTCTGTCACCATTATTAGAAGACTCGTTTACACTCCCAAACGATTGTGGGATCAAAACACCATTCGACACATACTAACAGAAGTACGGAAAAGTTGTTAGTTACACTTCAACTATAATTCTGCTTACCCCTTTAACGTTTAAAGCGTAAACCTCTCATATTAGACTTCCTCGAATACATCAGAAAGCTCTTCGATCCTAAAATGTCACGTTACATAAAACCTCTTTTGTCCCATCAAAAGCCGACAGATAGCTTTCTCTTTCACTCTCATTACGTAACACGTATCCTGTATTGTTGTCTCTGTCGCACTTTGAGGATGTCACGATTCGGTTAAGGATATCGGAAGTGCATTGATGGTGCAATCGTGTATACAGATTATGGAGGTTTGGACCACACAGAAAGAAATTTTGTTATGATTTTTAACTTATACATATTAATTGGTGGTAAAATTAATATGTACAATATTGTATGAAATAATGTGTTGATGTGATTGTTAAACATATTTTTTAAAAGAGTAACGACGGGGTTTTTTTCGGCTTTCGTCACGTGCGAACTGACTGACGGATATTTTGACGTTTATTACCCGTCCTCGTATTTTTGACTTAGACTTTCTGTCATTTCTAGTGATCGCTTAAATTTTTTTTTTAAATTAGTCCCCACAGCATTTATTTATTCTGTTGGCTCTGAGAACCAAAACAATCTGTCTGTGATAAAAAAAATTTGAAAACACGTCTAGATTTTTTAAGGATAAACGTATGTAGCGCTTCTTTCATAAAAAGTACATTCTAAATTAAATTTTAAATATCTCAGATAAAGAATTTATGACAAATACAATAAAATCAATAAATAATGAACATATTCATTTCATTTCATTTTTATTTTATACTAGCGGCCCGCCCTCACTTCGAACGGGTCCTACTATCTCGCTATCAAAGGGTCACTTTTTCCTAATCTTCCCCTCTACTTTTCTGATGTTTTTTGATAAAAACGTTCTTCCGACAATAACAAACACAAAAAAAATCACCAAAATTGGTACAAGCGTTGTTGAGTTATGCGTTAAACATTTTGCGATCCATTTTTATACACAAGATTACTTCATTTATTATATTACATATTTTTGGGAACTCAATAAACTTATGATTACATTCTAAATTCAAATTTGTGTGACACATAGACATTGTGAACCAAGTCCAAAGTCTATGATAGTGAATAACAATTTCCATTTTCAAATCTGCCACAGTTATAAATTGACAGACAATGTCACTTTAAATCATAAGTGTCACAGATTTAGTATGATGCAACCTCATTGTTCGCGCGACTGAATAATCGCTTTACTTTCGCCTCGTGATACTAAGTAATTTTTATATTCATTAATATATGTAATACGTATCTCGAACTGTGACATAACATTTATAGTCGTTAAGTTTCCGATCCTTACATATCCAAAACCCTTATCCCAAAAAGGCCGGGAACGCACTCGTAACTCCATTGGTGTTGCGGTTGTCCATGGCCGACGCTGATTGCTTACCATGATGTAATCCACGGGCTCGTTTGTCGATCTATCCTATAAAAAATATTTCGGGGAGCGGACTGAACTGATATCACGGTCTCACAGAAACCCGGAGTCAAACAAAACTTGGGTTAATTTTCTTCTTCAAAATACTGGCGACGGCACTTGTAGCTCGGTGTTGTAGGTTTCCATAGGCAGCACAGATAGCTTACCTTCAGATACTCGTTAAGGTCGTTTATTCATATTGGTACGGGAGTGTTTTTACACGTGCCAAAGGTGCATTTTTTTGTATTTTCTAATGTCTCGAGACAGTACGTAGTACGTAGGCTGTTTTTTTTTTGAAGTGGGAAAATCATCCAATGACTTCTTCTGCGTTAGGTCGGGTGAGTGAGAGTGACTCTTATTGACTATAACTACTCTGTTTCTTATCTTATTCCGGGCCGAGGCTGCGCGGTACATTATTGCGCTTGATCCAACTAAACATCAGTCCTGCTGGGACCCACTTGTGGTGGTCTATTGATTCTTATAAGCAAGAAGTTCGAACGCTAGAGAGTGATACAGGATACTTTTTTCTTTAACCATACTCTCGCAACCCAAGGCTTCAAGTTATTTAGTCGAATTATAATTGTCCCCTACTACTTGACGTCTATATTAAACAAATTTCGAATATAAAAATTGTAGTCTTTTCAAATGAGATCAGAGTTCCGCACACAACTCTATGATTATTAAGTCCCCAGCCATTATTTTCCATGCCAAATGACTTTATCATTGCAGGTTATGGGTCACCTTGAGTTTAAACACTTTGATTCTATGAAAGCCTAGTACTCTGTCATTTCATCCGAT